TTGTATTTTTAAAAAAATTGCACTCATTACTCACGTATTAAATGTGAGTATTAGCAGAACATAACTCCAGATTCAAAGACAGGTGAACAGTTAGTATATTGTCAAGTCACCATGGGCAGCAATGTAGGCTTCAATGCGGCAGGGCATACTATTGATCAAAGAAGTTAGAAAGTCGTGGTCCATGCTGTCCCAATATCGGACCACCTCATCTTTCATTTCAGCAATATTTGTCAGATTTTTCTTATTGACACTTTCCTTCATAAGTCCTCAAACATTTTCTATTGGATATAGGTCAGGGCTATAGCTTGGCCAATCTAATAATGTCATATTTTGGGTCCGAAACCAGGCCTGTGACTGCTTTGAACGATGTTTTGGGTCGTTGCCCTGCTGGAAAAATGCCCTGATGGAAGTAAATGTCCCTCGAGAATATCTGTGTAGCGCTCACTGTTCATATTCCCTTCAAATACACAGAGGGGCGTTGCCCCTAACACAGATATGCCATCCCACACGTTAAATTTGGGCGCTGATACAGAGGTTTATCGGTTTGTTTGGTCCAGAATTTCAGTGTATTAGGAAACAGCCACACAGAACTTTCATCTGAGAAATCACATTGTCCCAGTTAAAATTTCTATGCTGTAAGCACCAGTTCAACCTTCGCTCCTTTTGTTCAGGTTTCATGATCGTTGATGGAATTCCCTGACTTTTCTGCCAACCCATTGCATGCAGCTCAGTTCTAATTGTCTCCTTGCAGACAGCCACAGTTCCTCTATCAGTCATATCCAGCCTTAAGTTTTCTAAACTCCTTCGATTTGTTTTTAGAAACAAGAATACCAAGCCGCCTCCTATCACTGACAGTCAAATTTCTGGGCCTACCTGCGCCTCCCTGGTGCTCAATGCCCTATCCATTTGCAATATTTTTTCAAAACACGATAAACAGTAGACAAAGGGATGCCTGTTCTACTTGAAATCACTTTAGCTGATCTGATGTCCTTGTTATAATACTCTAAAATCAACTTCCTCTCCTCTCAATCATCCATACTCAGGATCACTGAAAATGTCGTCTGCTAGCAAGTAAACAAAGGGGGGTAACTCTTCACAAACTAATGAAAATGGATTAACGGAGTTGTCTTTCTTGAATGAAACCAAGCACTGGATAGCTGGTCAAGGTTGTTTATACTAGAAATCCAATTAAATATATTCCTAAAATTCTCAATAATTTCTGGTCATACTATATATATATGTCTGATTAATCATCATATTAAATTTTAAACACTAAATTTTACCTATTGACTAGTGTCCATAATGATCAGATTGGAATAGGGGCGGTTTGGTAGCCTAGTGGTTAAAGCATTCGTTTGTCACCCCGAAGACCCGAGTTCGATTCCCCACATGGGTACAATGTGTGAAGCCCATTTCTGGTGATATTGCTGAAATATTATTGCTAAAAGTGCCATGAAACCAAACTCACTCACTCACCACTGAGATTAGAATATAGTTGAAATCTGTTGAAAGTCTGATGTGATTGTGTTAATTAATACTTAATGTCTATGTGAAATACATAACTTTTTAAGTAGAAGGAATTGGCTGTAAGGTTCATTGACCTTGATGTGAGGCACAGGGCAGGAAGATTATAGTGGCCATGAGTCAACATCTGTGGAAGTGAGGCACTTGGTGAAAACTAAGTGGTTGTCTCATGAAGTTGGTAATCCGACAGCCTGGTAACAGACACATGAGACTATGGTTCAGAATTATTGTTTGAAAAAATTTTAAGATTAAATTTTTAATAGTTCATGGACTGTGTTATTGTTGCTACTCATACTATTTGCCAGTTATTTTAGATTTATCTAATGGGTGTTTTCTGACTGGATCATGTTCCTTTGCGTTTGAGTGCAGTTTCTTGAGTTGTTGCTGAACTGTTGGTTAGAGCAGGAGGTTTTTGGCCCTCAGTGTGGTCTTTTCTGAACCGGGTTGATTACATGGGTACAATGTGTTAAGCCCATTTCTGGTGTCCCCCGCCGGGATATTGCTGGAATATTGCTTAAAGCGGCGTAAAACTAAACTCAGTCAGTCTTTTCAAGGGATCACGTCGGATGGTTGTAGAATCCATGAATAGCATTGGGCCCTTGGGATTCCTGTCTGTCAGCTCTGACTTGTGTTTGTTAAATCTGTTGTCCAACTATCAGATGCTTGAGCTGGAGTGGTGGAGATACCCAACTAATATTGATGTTAAGAAGTACAGAATTGCATTTTCACATCTCGGTTCACATATGCTTATGATTGAGTGTACCTAAAGTCCCATTTGCTGATAGATTATGCCCTTTTTCTACTAACGAAAGAGAAGATGAGTACCACATACTCCTGATTTGTCCAAAATATCGAGAAGTACTTAAACAACATTTAAGTAATATTCTATTGGAAAATATAAGTATGTTCAAGTTTATCAAATTGTTAAAATGTGAAAACAGTTTTGATGTACTTAAATCTGCGAAGTGCTTTTATCATGTCTTAAATGAAAGAAACAAAGTTGAATTTTTGTGAATTGTTTACACATATGCTCCCTCTTGGGCAATAATAATAATAAGATGCTTGTTGTCTATACCTCGCCATGTGCACAGGCAAATATTCAGTGGATCTAAACTGTATTGGTCTTTGACCTAATAAAAATCTTGTCTTGTCTTGTCTTGGTCTGAGCAAGGGAATATGTGATGTCAAGGGAATGTTTCTCAGCATCCTTATCTGAGTTTATTCTTCTAAAGTGTGGCTGAGCCTCTTAGCTCGTACTCTGATTTTCAGTTGAGAATATGTGTATCCAGAAGTTTTGGGGCACTTGTTTTCAAAGTTTTACTCCTAGTTTTGGCCAACTCAAGGGTGTATTTGTATGAGATAAAAGGTCTAGATGACTATGGGATTAGAATGTTCTCTTTGTACAAATGTTGTAGGAAACCAAAATTCCATCTGCATGATGCTTCTTGTGATTTTGCTATATGTTCTACTGTGTCAAACTGGATTGTTGGGGAGTTTCTCTGCTTTGGTGATGTTGTCTGATGATTTGGACTGCAGGGTCCTGAATTCAACACATTTCCTTTAACTAGGTAGGGCTGGGTCAATTCACCGATACACCGATGCATCACGATCCATTAACGTTTGATACAGCTATCGTATCTTCGATTGGTGTATCGATACAAAACGATGCATGACTTTTTTTCAAAACAGTATTATCTTAAACATGTTAAACATGTTATTTAGAGAAAAATACACAAGTATGATAGAGTTTCTTGCTTGTTTATTACAATAATGTTATTGTTATACACAAATACCTTGAAATAAATCATTTTAAATCTTAATACTGTGTCATTCTTTCAAGGTGTATGTATCGTGATACGTATCGTATCGCAGGTAAAATAACGTATGTATTGTATCGTTATCATCCAAGCCATTTAACTAGGTGGTTCACCTTGAACAACAGTAGTGATTGAATGGCTAAAGTAACTTCTGTAGGAGGGAGCGGTGAGCCATCAGCTGTTACTTTTTAGGATATAAAGTCTGTCAATGGGTATATTGGGTGTGGGGCTAAAATCAAAAAGTAAGTTTGGTGTTATCAGTTAATTAGCTTGAAGTAGTAACTATTAACAGTCGATACTCACAGATGTTAGCTACACACTTTATCAAACTCAAGGAAGTAACTCTCTCATATGTCATGGTACATGCACAATGTATTCTGAAACAGGAAGCCATGAAGATCTGGGTCAGAATTGATCTTCAGTAACCTTTGCTTGTTGTAAGGGGCAACAAACGGGATTGGGTGGTCAGGGTAGCTGACTTGGTTGATTTGGATAGATCAATGCTCATGATGTTGATCACTAGATTTTCTGGTGAGGACTTGATCGTGTTACAGACTGCCACCATACAGTTGAAATATTGCTGAGTGTGGCGTTATACAACAAACAAATAAACTGAAACAGGACATAGTTTATTGTACTTCCATGGCATTAAACAATGGAAGATGGGGATGTTCGTCAGTTGAGGTAACAGGAAAGAGGAATTATTTGCTTTGCTTTGGACATATGTTACTGTCAAGGTAGGTGATGTTTGATGATGTTACATATATTACATACTTCCACATGGTATCAATACTCACCCAAGTCAGTCTAAGTAAACTTAGGCTCAGTATTATTCGTAACACTGCTATACTAAGTCTAACAAACCCTAGTAGAAGGTTGCGTCAGCTAACCTTATGGACTGACCAATCAGAACACAGCTAGCTTACCAAATCGTGAAAGTTAACATTCGCACATACTGTTTGAACCTTTGCCTCAAAAACAGATTCCGAATGCTATTTTCCGCACGATCGCTTCCGAGTGATACACATGGACACAATGAGTAAACAGTCACTGAAAATAGCGTTTTTGTCAATATTCCAGGATGTCATAAGCTAATAGTAACCATGTCATCAGAAACCCCCTAAGTGTATATACAGGTCAAATATCTGTGTTTTGTGTAGATTTTCGTTTGTTGAGAGATCCGTGTCAACATCCAGGGAGGAGAAAATCAAAAACATATTGTAAATCCCGCCGTACCCTAACAAGTAGTCGGTATCTGATTGGTTAAATCTGTTCGTCCGTCTCGCGTTTGATTGGTCGGTCATACGTCGCTCAAAGGTTAGTTGACGCGACCTTCTACTAGGTTTTGTTAGACTCATTATAGCAGTGTAATGAATAATACTGAGCCTAAGCTTACTTAGATTGCACCCAAGTAAGTTTTGTATTTGTTTTTCATGTGCTCTTCATATAACTTAGAGTGTTGCAATGCTAACACATAACAGTTTTCTATATTCTGGGAAGTCTATTAGCTATCACTGTGTTCAGTTATTAAGTTATCTTGTTAAAATAACACAACAAGCAGCCAGGAAACTCTCATTTTCAGAGTAAACTTGACATGAGAGCTATTAGGCCTAAAAGATAGAATGTTGTGGTTCCAATTACCCGACCAACCCTTGAATTGTGGTGCCAACCCTATTTTTTAAGCCGTATGAAAAAAATAAGCTTTCAGATGCCACTGGTTTTGTCCTGGCACTGACAGACATTGGTCATTTATCACCGTGTTTATCAACTGATGAGTGAGTGAGTATGGTTTTACACCTCTTTTAGCAATATTCTAGCAATACGACGGTTAGACATAAGAATGGGCTTCACACATTGTACCCATGTGGGGAATCAAACCCGGGTCTTCAGCGTTAACCATTAGACTACCTCACCGACCCCATCAACTAATGAACGTCAGATACATTGATTGAGTCATAAACATCACGGCTGCAACAATTCATGGTGCTTGTTAGCATGGATACAAATAGGCTGGTTGTAATCAGTGAAATATCAGGTTGTGTCTACCACATAGAAAGAGTTTAGATACAACAGTGTCTACAGTAGGACAGAACATGGCAGATATGTAATAGTCGACTGAATTCGAAACATTATTTCTAATCATAGGAGATAAATAGAGGAACTTCCTGCAAGTGTTACATTGTTCACAAACACTTCCCTGTAAACCTGATTAAAAACAAATTATGAAGCAGAAATCATTTGAGCTTCTGTTTAGTACACTGTTCATTATTGATATTACACTGTTTACTATTAATATTACACTGTTTATAGCAATGTATTGATATTACACTGTATTGATAGTGTACTGTTTATCATTAATAGCCGCCGTGATGTTGTTGGAATATTGCTAAAAGCGGCGTAAAACCAAACTCAGTCAGTCAGTATCATTAATAGTGCACTGTTTATTATTGATATTACACTATTTATTATTACACTGTTCTTAATAGTACACTGTTTATTATTAATAGTACACTGTTATTATTGATAGTGCACTGTTTATTATTGATAGTGCACTGTATATTATTGATAGTACACTGTTTATTATTGATAGTGCACTGTTGATTATTGATGTTACACTGTTTATTATCTTCAGGTTTCCTGCCCAGCGCTGAGCTGAACGATGTTTATATGAGACAGTAGCAGCCTGTTTGGAAGTAAATGTATCTCCCTCATGTAATTGTCTGCATCTATGTAAGTAACCTTTGATAAACTTGCATGAACTAAAACCAGTGTTTGCTTCCACGCCATAAACTCATCTTCACCATGGCTTAATGGCCTATTTTATACCATTTTGTGGAAGGGGAAATATGTTATAGTCTAAAATGGTCCTGAAACTCTGGTTTTTGCCGGTTTATTTACATGCATTGATGCAAGTTCTTATGGCACTATTATGGAGTCACTTCCTTTGACTTTCCAATGATGTCAATCACTGGATTGTCTGGTCCAGACTTGATTTTTTGCAGACTGCTGTCATTCAGGTGGAATATGGCTGAATGTGGTGTTAAACAACAAACCAATCTTACATGCTAAAATACTAAAACATCAATGTATATTCAATCTGATAATTTATGTTATTGTGTGTTGTTATGATGATTATTATTCTGGTTTTTATTCCTTGTAGGTCCTCACGGCACAGGTGCTTGGTGATTATGGGAAATCAGATTAGTAAGTCAACTTCTGAAGCAAGTTAGTGAATATTGCTTGCTACTTTTTACTGTACAGTTAAGAAACTATTCCATGTGTTGATTTGTAATGTTCATAAAAATTTAAATGTAGTATAATAGATATAGTACAGAGATGTCATTGGTCCCCTATATATATATTTGTAATCAGAATTATGTTTATGCAATGCAGATTACAATAATTGACATGTTTGTTTTCATTTCCTTCAGTCGGTATATTGAGAATGGGGTAACAAAGTGGTGCGTGTATGGCACAGTACGGGACATAGAGTAAGTATATATGTACGTCAGTTAAATTACAACAGTGCATAGATTGACTGTCGACTTGGACAAGAGGTCAAAGCAGGTCAAGCGATGTCTGACTGCTGGATCAGTCCTGTACAATTGATTGTCAATCTTTACCTTAGCCAGACTCTGAACTTTCATTCCAAATCCTTAATTTGTGTGAGTGTATGTATGGCCGTACTTGTAGAGAGATAGTGGGACATGTTGGTATGTGCGATAATGATGGTAATATTGAATACACACGTGTGATACATGTAATCAAAGTGGTAATACTGAATATACACATGTGTGATACATGTGATCATGAAGGTAATACTGAATATACTCATGTGTAATACATGTGATCATGGAGGTAATATTATACACATATTTAATACATGTGATCATGGAGGTAATACTGAATATACTCATGTGTGATACATGTGATCATGAAGGTAATACTGAATATACTCATGTAATAGATCTGATCATGGAGGTAATCTTATACACATATTTAATACATGTAATCATTAAGGTAATACTGAATATACACATGTGTGATAGATGTAATCATGAAGGTAATACTGAATATACTCATGTGTGATAGATGTGATCATGGAAGGTAATACTGAATATACTCATGTTTAATACATGTAATCATGGAGGTAATACTGAATATACTCATGTGTGATAGATGTGATCATGGAGGTAATATTGAATATACTCATGTGTGATAGATGTGATCATGGAGGTAATATTGAATATACTCATGTGTGATAGATGTGATCATGGAGGTAATACTGAATATACTCATGTGTGATAGATGTGATCATGGAGGTAATACTGAATATACTCATGTGTGATAGATGTAATCATGGAGGTAATACTGAATATACTCATGTGTGATAGATGTGATCATGGAGGTAATACTGAATATACTCATGTGTGATAGATGTGATCATGGAGGTAATACTGAATATACTCATGTGTGATAGATGTAATCATGGAGGTAATACTGAATATACTCATGTGTGTGATAGATGTAATCATGGAGGTAATACTGAATATACTCATGTGTGATAGATGTGATCATGGAGGTAATACTGAATATACTCATGTGTGATAGATGTAATCATGGAGGTAATACTGAATATACTCATGTGTGATAGATGTAATCATGGAGGTAATACTGAATATACTCATGTGTGATAGATGTAATCATGGAGGTAATACTGAATATACTCATGTGTGATAGATGTAATCATGAAGGTAATACTGAATATACTCATGTTTAATACATGTAATCATGAAGGTAATACTGAATATACTCATGTGTGATAGATGTGATCATGGAGGTAATACTGAATATACTCATGTGTGATAGATGTATCATGGAGGTAATACTGAATATACTCATGTGTGATAGATGTAATCATGGAGGTAATACTGAATATACTCATGTGTGATAGATGTGATCATGGAGGTAATATTGAATATACTCATGTGTGATAGATGTGATCATGGAGGTAATACTGAATATACTCATGTGTGATAGATGTGATCATGGAGGTAATACTGAATATACTCATGTGTGATAGATCTAATCATGGAGGTAATACTGAATATAACTCATGTGTGATAGATGTAATCATGGAGGTAATACTGAATATACTCATGTGTGATAGATGTGATCATGGAGGTAATACTGAATATACTCATGTGTGATAGATGTGATCATGGAGGTAATACTGAATATACTCATGTGTGATAGATGTAATCATGGAGGTAATACTGAATATACTCATGTGTGATAGATGTAATCATGGAGGTAATACTGAATATACTCATGTGTGATAGATGTGATCATGGAGGTAATACTGAATATACTCATGTGTGATAGATGTAATCATGGAGGTAATACTGAATATACTCATGTGTGATACATGTGATCATGGAGGTAATATTATACACATGTGTGATACATGTGATCAAGGAGGTAATACTGAATATACTTATGTGTAATACATGTGATCATGGAGGTAATATTATACACATGTGTGATACATGTGATCAAGGAGGTAATACTGAATATACACATGTTTAATACATGTGATCATGGAGGTAATACTGAATATACACATGTGTGATAGATGTAATCATGGAGGTAATACTGAATATACTCATGTGTGATACATGTGTTCATGGAGGTAATATTATACTCATGTGTGATAGATGTGATCATGGAGGTAATACTGAATATACTCATGTGTGATAGATGTAATCATGGAGGTAATACTGAATATACTCATGTGTGATAGATGTAATAATGGAGGTAATACTGAATATACTCATGTGTGATAGATCTAATCATGGAGGTAATACTGAATATACTCATGTGTGATAGATGTAATCATGGAGGTAATACTGAATATACTCATGTGTGATACATGTGATCATGGAGGTAATATTATACACATGTGTGATACATGTGATCAAGGAGGTAATACTGAATATACTCATGTGTAATACATGTGATCATGGAGGTAATATTATACACATGTGTGATACATGTGTAAAGGCTGGATATTTTGTCCCAGTCTTTTGCACAAGTAACCTAATATCCTGCCCTTTACCAGTTATCTGATAGGGTTCTGGGGCTCAAGGCACTGGTGCTATGGGTTCCATAGCAAAAGTTTTTTTAGCCAATCCCCAGGGGCTATGTTGTCACATGACAGGGGCAAGAGGGAGCGTGGGACCCCCAAGCCTGAAATCTTCCTCTTTCTGCCTGCACTGTCGAGGTGACAACAAGCCAGCTTGTTTTTTAGGTAAGAACCTCAGTTTGCTTCCATATTGCAACTGGGTCTTCTGTATTAAATTCCAATGTATAGTTATGTTGTTAGCAGGATAAGTAATTATCTGCGGCTTTTAAATTAATGTATTATTTAATTTGATAAATTACAATTAAAATAAGTGTTGGGTCACTGTCATCAATTATTCTTGCTGTGCCAAACTGGCGAAAGGTCACTCATCTGTGACTGTCCAAACGTGCACTCAATGGCAAGAATAAATGACATGTACTCATTGTAATATATTTTCATCTAAAAATTCATTTTAGTAAAGTACTTTGTGTGTTTAGCATTAATTTGCTTATTTGACCTGCCAGTCAAAATTGTCTCTAGCTCATTGCTAAATTCAAAATTCCATTTATTTACAACTTGTTGCTGTTAACAACAGAACACTTTTGCCATTTTAATCTAAATTAAACAGTGGCTGTATCACTGTCCCGGTTTCCAAACCATGTGCTCAGTTAGAGTATCACGGTATCAGCTGGAACCAATTAGTGGAGGTCATGCTCACTGACCAGTGCTGACCTCTCCACTGAGCAGCACACAGCCTGGGCTGTCTTTGGCTCTCCTCTGCATTCTCCGGCTCCCGTCCGGCTCCATTTCAAAATGGCTGCACCGGATGTAAACAAACCTAGGGTCCATCGTCTGCTTCATGTTTTTTCTAACATAGCAAAAGCCTACCATCATCTCATGTCACTTTATCAAGTATATCTGTAAAGTGCTACTGATGGGTAATAGCATATTCAGCATTTGAATATTGTTTATTTTCTGAACAAGATTATTTTCTCGTTCTCTTCGGGTCTGGCGTTGCGCGTATCATCAAACGTAATATTTCTACATGTTGTTATATCAATCATATTTTAGTATGTTTCCCCACTTGATGTGAAAGTGAAGTCACAGTTTATTCAATAATAATATAATGTATTATATTATATGGCCATTAATATACCTACATATCGTAGTAATATAAATTATGTAATATCCGTTTATTACATATTGTCAATTTACTTACTACAATTAGGTGTTTATCCTGGGTAGCCCCAAGTGGTGTACCTACTGGGTGTATCGACATTCTGTTGGAGCTAGCCTCATATTGACTAGTATGATCATCCAACAGGCAGTCATACCCCCATTTCCCTTGAAGCCACATGTGTCGCATTACAGGCCAGGTGTCCTGTCGTGGCTATTGTGTATATCAATCAACCAGTTTTCTGTATCATATATTCCAAAATGTGTTGGGTATAGATATTGCCACACTTTGTGTATATATATGTATTTTTATACTCCATTGGCCCTTAAAGTTAATGTGACTTTCACCTCACCTCAGGTGGGGCCCTATGTAAATCCTCTGATAGGAGGGTGTGACGATTCTTTTGGGTTATGTAATTAAAGGTATTTTGTAAATACTCTTTGGGATTGTGTGCTCATATATGCACATATACTTTTGTACCAATATTGTATTTATTTGTCCTTAATAATATTGTTGCCCCTATTAAGTATTGTCGCCACATCCTACATATCAGTCGGATTATTATGTATTTTCATTATTGTATCTGTAACAATAGCTCTTTTCTGCCTGTCGCCAGGTGACAACAAGCCAGCAGCTTGTTTTTAGGGTTTCACCTGACTGTGCAGTCGAATTCTTTGCAACTCTGTTACCAAGACTTTTATTTCAATATATATTATAACTGTCTTTTTGTGTTGTGTCATCTTTGACTGGAGCACTTCGCGCAATAGACACACTTGCCCATCCCTTTTCCCGTGAGACGTATTGTTATGCAATAACAGCAATTACCCAAGTCTTACACATGTGATCAAGGAGGTAATACTGAATATACACATGTTTAATACATGTGATCATGGAGGTAATACTGAATATACACATGTGTGATAGATGTAATCATGGAGGTAATACTGAATATACTCATGTGTGATACATGTGATCATGGAGGTAATATTATATTCATGTGTGATAGATGTGATCATGGAGGTAATATTGAATATACTCATGTGTGACAGATGTGATCATCGAGGTAATATTATACTCATGTGTGATACATGTGATCATGGAGTGAGTGAGTGAGTTTCGTTTTACACTGCACTCAGGAATATTCCAGCTATATGGTGGCGGTTTGTAAATAATCGAGTCTGGACCAGACAATCCAGTGATCAACAGCATGAGCATCGATCTGCGTAATTGGGAACCGATGACATGTGTCAACCAAGTCAGTGAGCCTGACCACCCGATCCCATTAGTCGACTCTCACGACAAGCATAGTCGCCTTTTGTGGCAAGCATGGGTCGCTGAAGACCTATTCTACCCCAGATCTTCATGGGGTCTGTGATCATGGAGGTAATGCTGAATATACACATGTGTGATATGTGTGATCATGGAGGCAATATTGAATATACATATATGTGATACATGTGATCATGGAGGTAATACTGAATATACACATTTGTGATATGTGTGATCATGGAGGCAATATTGAATATACATATATGTGATACATGTGATCATTGAGGTAATGCTGAATATACACATTTGTGATATGTGTGATCATGGAGGCAATATTGAATATACATATATGTGATACATGTGATCATTGAGGTAATGCTGAATATATGTGTGACATGGAGGCAATGTGATATATGTGATCATGGAGGCAATATTCTGAATATACATATATGTGATACATGTGATCATGGAGGTAATGCTGAATATACATGTCATCAATATGTTCACATCATGATCAGGAACATTTATGGTTCCCAGAAGTATCTATGCTGTTATGAGAACCATGTTCTTGGTTGCTGCATTGCATTATGCATGTTTATTAGACGTTCATTGTTTGTTAATGTGACAGTTTCTAAATGCCACTAAAAGAGAATTGTTTGTTTCAGAATTAGTGGCTCAGAGAGTCATTGCTAGGAAAGGATTTGCCCGTTGAAACACATTTGATAAATGGGAAAAAAGTACGATTTTGGGCAAGGCTGTCGTTAGTGGAGGGAGGCCGAAACAGATACATTAAAAGTAAATATTGTAAACATAACAACACAGTTTACTACTTTTCTTTCAATTTTCTTTCAAATGTGTTTGCATGTGAAGCTGAAGAATATTCTAATGGTGGTACAAACCTCTGCAGTTTGAGGCTTGATTTGCCAGTGTGACTGCCACAGCAACCATGGCAGCCATATTGGATTCCAAGATTGATCACATACATTTCTGCCACAGCAACCATGGCAGCCATATTGGATTCAAAGATTGATCACACGGTACATTTCTGCCACAGCAACCATGGCAGCCATATTGGATTCCAAGATTGATCACATACATTTCTGCCACAGCAACCATGGCAGCCATATTGGATTCCAAGATTGATAATATGCATTTCAGTATAAGTCACTATGTGTGCAGTTTGCTTTTATAGTTCTTCATGATAAATAAAATTTGTAATGTCATGGAAGCTGAACATTTTAGGAGTCCATAGTAAAATGACTCTTATGGGAAGTGCTGTTGTTTGTTAGTCCTTGTCAGGTACATCATCCAAACTGGACAGTAATAGGATTTAACACTGTTTGATGTATATATTTCCACCAGTAGGGATTGTTGCAACCATTTGGACCTCTGTTATACCAGTAAATCGTGTCTTGATGTATGGTATTGGGGCATCTTATATTTATCAAAGGTGTAAATGTACCACATCACTGCAGGAATTCCTCCCACGTTCAGCTGACATGTAAACGGTTTACTCTGTCTCTAATGTTGGATGACGGGGACAGGCAAAAACATACATGGAGCTTCCTCTGTTTGTGGTTTAGTTTTAAACAATTTAATGGTGTACTGAGTTTTGTAAAACAAATTGACGTGAAACGGCGCAAGTATGGCATTTTCTCTATTTTAAGGAATTGCCCTTTTCTGTACTTTCTGTTTAGTGATGCTAGGTTGAAATTGTTTGCCTTGGTGGATTTTAAAACGGTAACCAGGGTAACGCTGCTGTGTTCTGGCTTCAGACTGCACTGCTCCACCAAGTATCGTGGGGGCGGAGATAGACTGCAGGGATAGCAACGATAACGTGTTTGTCCGAGTCTATGACACATGCCGAGTGAACTGCACCTCCCCGGGTCATGTGGCCAGCCAGAAGACGTCAACGTGTCAGAGGAATGGGCAGTGGGAAGAGGTCACGTGCATACCACACAGTATGTTCGCAATTCATGTACATCATAGTTTGTGTAAAAAAATACAAGCAAGAAAAACTGTGCAATTATCTTGTACTTTCCCTGATGTAATGTTGGAAACTTTATGTTTTAACAACATTTTCTAATTGTGACAAATATTAATGTTTTCCTCGACCTGCAATGTATCCACTAAGATGCGAATATGATATCCCGAATATTGGATGATGAATATGAATATTGGGTAATGAATACAATGACAGGTCAGCAGAATATTGGGTAATGAATACAAAGACAGGTCAGCAGAATATTGGGTAATGAATGCAATGACAGGTCAGCAGAATATTGGGTAATGAATGCAATGACAGGTCAGCAGAATATTGGGTAATGAATGCAATGACAGGTCAGCAGAATATTGGGTAATGAATGCAATGACAGGTCAGCAGAATATTGGGTAATGAATGCAATGACAGGTCAGCAGAATATTGGGTAATGAATGCAATGACAGGTCAGCAGAATATTGGGTAATGAATGCAATGACAGGTCAGCAGAATATTGGGTAATGAATGCAATGACAGGTCAGCAGAATATTGGGTAATGAATGCAATGACAGGTCAGCAGTTGAAGTATTATTCGATAGATTCAGAGAAACAATAACAAAATTCATTCTTTGTTAGCAGCTTAAGCATTTGTCCATCACACTAAATGGTTCCATTCCCGACAATCACAGCATTTACTAACAACAAAGAGTGTCAAACAAACGGGTCATTCTACCATGACTTCAGTAAACACTGGATTGTGATTGGTTAATTAAAGTTATTCAGAGGTATATAATCACATTATACAGGTCTCTGATTTTCCGTGCGCAATTATACATGGTTTACGGTACATGGCGGACACCAAACAACCTACCGATGCATCGCTAAATTACGGCGATTTTGCTGTCGGAAATTACACATATGTCTTTAAAGATGGATTTAGCGATAACGGGCTCGACTCACTACTTGTGTAAAAAACAGCAATAGGTGATTATACATACAAAAGTACTTCGAAAGCATGGAAACAAATATTCAGTTGAACAAGCTCAAAACATCGTCTGCTCTCCGAATAAAAAATCAGCAAGAACAAATATGTTTACGTTGATTCTATGTTATGACAGAATAGATCCAGCAAGAGACTGCTACATAATTTCCGTGCTAAATTTATTGTCAGCTTTCGTCAACGATATCGACACTGATTTTGATCCAGTAACGGAGGATGCATTAACATCGAACGCCGAAGAAATTTTAATGCCTTCCGTCCACATAAATAAACAGTTGGGTTATCAATTCAAACTAAATGATATTTTGAAATTTGTACTGTTTAAATTTAGCGGTAGTAATTACAGAATCTGCAAACCGTTCTGTTTAGCCCAACATATTTTTTTCTAAAAGTGTAATATTGTTGAAAAAGTTATTTAGCTTAGTCATGATCCCTCTTATCCATTACACTGCTTGATCTAAAGTAGTCTATTAAAGTATAATTAATTACCTTACCGTGTTTATGCCAGAGGTACACCCTCATGTCCTGTTCCATCCTTTTGGAAATATCACCACAATTCTGGCTCTTTGTCAACTGCCTCGCGAACATGCCAGCGAATCCGATTCAATTTGAATTCACTACACTTTGTAGCCACTAGGTCACAAAACACTTTCCAAAATGTAGAAAATAATATCCGAAGAATCGAATTTGAGCACAAAGTACACACAAGAAGTGTGTAAGAGTCACCACAGCTGTCGCACGCAGACGAGAGGTACATGAAATCGTCAAGTTGACAGGGAGCAAAATTCAACAGTATCTAAATTCGGTACAACACGGACTTCTCTTTACAGCAAAAGCGCCTCTACTCTTAAATTTTGTACCAGTTATTAGATATCAAAGACTATCTCAGTCATACAATCAGGTTAACCTTGCGCAAACTGTCAGAGGCTCTCCTGTCACATCTTTCCAAATTTGCACGTAAATGTAAACAATGACTTCCGAGAAAAGGTCAAGGCCATGAGGTTGCTGCCATTATTCTGGTGGGGGAAAGGGTCTACGGTGGAATTTTCAAACGTGAACCAAGCTTTTTAAACTTATTTAATATATGTTTTCCAACTTATCAGTTAATGATCGGTGATTAATGCATTGAAAAAACAAAACGTGATTTGTTATTACTGAATCTGGAGTTTGTTAGTTATTGACGGTTTGCCACCAATCACCCCGTTTCGGGCGATGCCACTTGAGATTGGAATGCGAGGCCCCTTCACGTATTGACTCATAACCAAAGAAAGAGTTCCACCTGAAATTGTTCATAAAATAGTCAGATAGAATGGAGATAAACCTACTGTGTGGGAAAATCAGAGGTATATAACGAAATTATAATAGCTCTAAATTTCATTTAAAACCGAACAAAATTATAATAACTCTAAATTTCATTTAAAACCGAACGAAATTATAATAGCTCTAAATTTAAAAAAAAACAAACAAAATTATAAAAGCTCTAAATTTCATTTAAACCGAACGAAATTATAACAGCTCTAAATTTCATTTAAAACTGAACGCTATGTGTTGAGTTTTAAATGAAATTTAGAGCTATTATAATTTCTTTATATACCTCTGATTTTCCCACACAGTAGGTTTATCTCCTAATTATGTTAGTGTCTGTATACACAAAAGTCATGGAAGAATTGTGGTGGCATGTGGACTGTGCACAAAGCTCAGGTCACAAATCAGTTGAATTTATGCAGCGTTGCGCTCGGAGAGTCCTTGGATGGGTTACTGTGTTTGGCAGCTTGATTCCTGAGAGTTTCTAATTCTAGGACTTCATTCCTGACCCACAACGAAGCACATGTGATACATGTGGTCTCACCTTAGGCAAGTGAGTTTATTCAAACTTGCCTCTGTTCACCCAGCAGGAAATGGGTACCCAGTGGAAAAAGTCATGTGACTAAAACCATCTAGCGCGCCTCACAGGTAGCTTGGGTTATCAGGGGTTTATAATGTGCTCAGCTATTCATTGTTAGTGCTGTGAGCATACCTGGTATGGAGTTTGGTGCTATATAAATGAACACATTATTGTTATTATTGTTAATTAACTATGGAAGTACCAATTCTGAAACTCATTTGGTAAACCCAGTATGATGTGCCCTACTCTCCACATTCCAATTCTTACTTCGTCTTCGAGGTTGCCCGCCACTGAAGCAGTCCATGAAATCAGATGAGAATACGTCATGTGACATCAATGCCTGGCTGCCATTGAACACAACATGTCTCGCAACATGTCCACGCGGCTATGAACCCGAGACCAGAGAGCTTAAGTGTGACCAGGGCCGGTGGGCCTTCATGCAGCTATGTGCTTATGTGGATCCCGGTAAACATTGCTCAACTTCATTAATCTCTGGCAATGATGGTCATGACTTTTGATATGGATTCTACTTGTGAAAGTTTTGAATGGGAATAGGCTAATGGTTCAGGAGTTCCCTTCCAACCCCACCTTGATATCGACCCACCTTGCTATCCTCCACCCCACTTTGTTGTCCACCCACCCCCCCTGCCACCCAACCTTGATATCCACCCACATTGCTATCCTCCACCCCACTTTGTTGTCCACCCACCCACCCTGCCATCCCACTTTGATATCCACCCACCCACCTTGCCAATCCATCTTGATATCCACCCACCCACCCACCTTGCCACCCATTTTGCCACCCAACCTTGATGTCCACCCACCTTGCCACCCCATCTTGCTATCCTCCACCCCACTTTGCTGTCCACCTACCCACCTTGCCTTGATATCCACCCATCTTGCTATCCTCCATCCTAATTTGATTTCCACCCATCCACCTTGTTGTCCACCCAACCTTGATGTCCACCGACCTTGCCATCCTCCACTCCACCTTGCTGTCCACCCATCCACCTTGCCACGCCACCATGATATCCACCCACCTTGCCACGCCACCATGATATCCACCCACCTTGATATCCACCCTCTCACCTTGCTGTCCTCCCACCCAACTTGAATGGGAATAGGCTAATGGTTCAGGAGTTCCCTTCCAACCCCACCTTGATATCGACCCACCTTGCTATCCTCCACCCCACTTTGTTGTCCACCCACCCCCCTTGCCACCCCACTTTGATATCCACCCACCTTTCTATCCTCCACCCCACTTTGCTGTACATCCACCCTATCCTCCATCCTAATTTGCTGTCCACCCACCCACCTTGCCACCCCACCTTGATATCCACCCACTCACCTTGTTGTCCACCCATCCACCTTGCTGACCACCAACCCTGCCACCCACCCACCTTGCCACTGCGCCTTGCTATCCTCCACCCCACCTTCCCACTCCACCTTGATATCCACCTACCCACCTTGCTGTCCACCCATCCACCTTGCTGTCCACCCACCCACCACCTGTCCACTGTGCCTTGCCATCCACCCACCCACCTCCTTCCCACTGTGCCTGATATCCACCCACCCCACCACCCACTCCACCTTGATTGCCACCTACCCACCTTGCTATCCTCCCACCCACCTTCCCACCCCACCTTGATATCCACCCACTCACCTTGTTGTCAACCCATCCACCTTGCTGTCCACCCACCCTGCCACCCACCCACCTTGCCACTGCGCGCCTTGCTATCCTCCACCCCACCTTCCCACCCCACCTTGATATCCACCCACTCACCTTGTTGTCAACCCATCCACCTTGCTGTCCACCCACCCTGCCACCCACCCACCTTCCCACTCCACCTTGCTATCCTCCACCACACCTTGCTGTCCACCCACCCACCTTGCCACCCCACCTTGATATCTACCCACTCACCAGCCACACAAGTACTTGCACACATTGAACTCAGAGAAAGTACACATTTTGCCTTCGCTCTTGATACGACTTTTACATGGTACCTTACTAAAATGTCTGCAGAAGATGGATGCTCATTCTATCAGTCATTGGTTTGTGTTGTCCAGACTGGATTATGTACAAGCCACCGTGATAGAACTTTAACACTGCTACCTGAAGGATATAGCCACACTCACACACTCTTTAAACACCTTCCAAATCCGTTTATGGCTCATTCTTCATCTTGTGATCCAATCTCTAAATGATTTATACCTAATGTGTAATATTATTTAGTGAGGTTTAAATATCTGCTCTCACAATGTACGGAGAGGTTTTTTTTCACTGTTTTTCAACTGATTTTCTTACCAGCAACCATAGTAAGAGAACCCGAACCTGCAACCGATTGGAAGACACCGACAATCGTCATTGCTGTGTTGTTCCCGGTATCCATTATCGTGTTTGGACTAGTTCTACATCTATGTAGAAAGAAAAAAACATTGTCAGGTAAGTATGTCTCAGTTGTCATCACACTACATTTGAAATAAACTCCACACAGTTTACAACTAATGTGTGTTCACATGAAGGGGAACAGGTCCTGGCTCACATCTACTTTCAGTTTTGTCTGTCTACTGTGTCTTCTTAGGTCAGGAGATCTGTGAAGATCCAGGTTAAATTGGTCTTCAGCAACCCATGTTTGTCCCCCGTGAAGATCCAGGTTAGACTTGGTCTTCAGCAACCCATTTTTGTCCCCGTGAAGATCCGGGTTAGACTTGGTCTTCATCAACCCGTGTTTGTCCCCCGTGAAGATCCAGGTTATATTGGTCTTCAGCAACCCATGTTTGTCCTCCGTGAAGATCCGGGCTATAACTGGTCTTCAGCAACCCATGTTTGACCCCGTGAAGATCCGGGTTAGACTTGGTCTTCAGCAACCCATGTTTGTCCCCCGTGAAGATCCAGGTTGTATTGGGGTTCCCCTATGAAGAGACTTGGTCTTCAGCAACAACCATGTTTGTCCCCCCGTGAAGATCCAGGGTTAGACTTGGTCTTCATCAACCCATGTTTGTCCCCATGAAGATCCGGGTTAGACTTGTCTTCATCAACCCATGTTTGTCCCCTATGCAGATCAGGTTAGACTTGGTCTTCATCAACCCATGTTTTGTCCCCGTGAAGATCCGGGTTAGACTTGATCTTCAGCAACCCATTTTTGTCCCCCGTGCAGATCCAGGTTAGACTTGGTCTTCATCAACCCATGTTTGTCCCCCGTGAAGATCCGGGTTAGACTTGATCTTCATCAACCCATGTTTGTCCCCCGTGCAGATCCAGGTTAGACTTGATCTTCAGCAACCCATGTTTGTCCCCCGTGCAGATCCAGGTTAGACTTGGTCTTCATCAACCCATGTTTGTCCCCTGTCAAGATCCAGGTTAGACTTGGTCTTCAGCAACCCATGTTTGTCCCCTTTGAAGATCTGGGTTAGTACTGGTCTTCAGCAACCCATGTTTGCCCCCATAGAGATCCGGGTTGGACTTGGTCTTCATCAACCCATGTTTGTCCCCCGTGAAGATCCGGGCTAGACTTGGTCTTCAGCAACCCATGTTTGTCCCCCGTGAAGATCCAGGTTAGACTTGGTCATCATCAACTGATGTTTGTCCCCCATGAAGATCCGGCTAGAACTGGTCTTCAACAAGCCATGTTTGTCCAGCATAACGATCCGGGTTAGACTTGGTCTTCAACAACCCATGTTTGTCCCCCATAAAGATCTGGGCTAGAACTGGTCTTCAGCAACTCATGTTTGTGCCCCGTGAAGATCCGGGCTAGAACTGGTCTTCAACAACCCATGTTTGTCCCATGTTTGTTGAAGATCCGGGTTAGACTTGGTTTTCAACAACCCATGTTTGTCCCCAATAAAGATCCGGGCTAGAACTGGTCTTCAGCAACTCATGTTTGTCTCCTGTGAAGATCTGGGCTAGAACTGGTCTTCAGCAACTCATGTTTGTCCCCCGTGAAGATCCGGGTTAGACTTGGTCTTCATCAACCCATGTTTGTCCCCCGTGAAGATCCGGGTTAGACTTGATCTTCAGCAACCCATGTTTGTCCCCCATGCAGATCCAGGTTAGACTTGGTCTTCATCAACCCATGTTTGCCCCCCGTGAAGATCCGGGTTAGACTTGATCTTCAGCAACCCATGTTTGTCCCCCGTGAAGATCCAGGTTAGACTTGGTCTTCATCAACCCATGTTTGTCCCCTGTGAAGATCTGGGTTAGTACTGGTCTTCAGCAACCCATGTTTGTCCCCCATAGATATCCTGGTTGGACTTGGTCTTCATCAACCCATGTTTGTCCCCCGTGAAGATCCGGGCTAGACTTGGTCTTCAGCAACCCATGTTTGTCCCCCGTGAAGATCCAGGTTAGACTTGGTCTTCATCAACTGATGTTTGTCCCCCATAAAGATCCGGCTAGAACTGGTCTTCAACAAGCCATGTTTGTCCACCATAACGATCCGGGTTAGACTTGGTCTTCAACAACCCATGTTTGTCCCCTGTGAAGATCCGGGCTAGAACTGGTCTTCAACAACCCATGTTTGTCCCCCATAGAGATCTGGGCTAGAACTGGTCTTCAGCAACTCATGTTTGTCCATTGTGAAGATCCGGGCTAGAACTGGTCTTCATCAACCCATGTTTGTCCCCCGTGAAGATCCGGGTTAGACTTGGTCTTCATCAACCCATGTTTGTCCCCCGTGAAGATCCAGGTTATATTGGTCTTCATCAACCCATGTTTGTCCCCCGTGAAGATCCGGGCTAGAACTGGTCTTCAACAACCCATGTTTGTCCCCCATAAAGATCCGGGTTAGACTTGGTCTTCAGCAACCCATGTTTGTCCCCCGTGAAGATCCGGGCTAGAACTGGTCTTCAACAACCCATGTTTGTCCCATGTTTGTTGAAGATCCGGGTTAGACTTGGTTTTCAACAACCCATGTTTGTCCCCAATAAAGATCCGGGCTAGAACTGGTCTTCAGCAACTCATGTTTGTCTCCTGTGAAGATCTGGGCTAGAACTGGTCTTCAGCAACTCATGTTTGTCCCCCGTGAAGATCCGGGTTAGACTTGGTCTTCATCAACCCAAGTTTGTCCCCCGTGAAGATCCGGGCTAGTACTGGTCTTCAACAACCCATGTTTGTCCCTCATAAAGATCCGGGCTAGAACTGGTCTTCAGCAACCCATGTTTGTCCCCCGTGAAGATCTGCGTTAGAACTGGTCTTCATCAACCGATGTTTGTCCCCTGTGAAGATCCGGGCTAGAACTGGTCTTCAGCAACTCATGTTTGTCCCCTGTGAAGATCCGGGCTAGAACTGGTCTTCATCAACCCATGTTTGTCCCCTTAGTAAAGGTTGCTTCGTGAAATGAGCCCCTGGTCTTCAGCAACCCATGCTTGTCATAAGAGGCGACTACCAGGATTGGGTGGTCAGGCTTTCTGACTTGCTGGACATATGTCATTATCTCCCAGTTGCATAGATCAATGCTCATGATGTAGATCACTGGTTTGTCTGGTCCAGCCTTGATTATTCACAGACTGCCGCCATCTACCGGGAATATTGCTGAGTGCAGCATTAAACAACAACCAATCCATTCTTGTTTTTGATCATTTCCAGATATGGGATGATGTATATCAGTCAGGACAGAGACAAACTGCATTTTCAGTGTAGGGTTGAGTTACCTGTCAATTTAACCACACAAGATTTAACTGGATCTGAACTAGCAATGTGAGGTATCAAATTATTAATTTAGTGTGGTTAAATTGACTGTTTCAATCAGGGGGGGGGCTATTGTGGTTTGATACCTCTGACTGACCAATGACAATTCAGTATTTCCTAATTTTATGTTATAGTTCTTTCACCGCCATCATCTGTTATGTCTGACTTGTCAGATGCTGCGTGGGGACAGCGTTCGAAATAATAGATGGCCCGGAGACGTCAGCGCCGGTTGTTATTGTATCGGTCCAGCAGTTTCAAATATCTGCAGGCCCTTGTGTCCTTCAGTAAATTATCTGGTATTTCAGCGCTTTGTGCATAGGAATGTCAACACCAGCCTTTAACAAATAAAAACGTCTCACTGCACCATAGGCTTCGCCAATTGATTTTGTAGAAAAGTGTGAGACTGTGTACAGTGTAGTCTATTTTGTTTTTATTGGTTTGACTTTAACCAAATGGGCCTGCAGATTTCATTCAGGGCCTGTAGAGTTTAAAGCCTTCAGGCCCTGATGGCCAACTGGCAAATTAATGTTTTGCAAACACTGGCTGGGGATATTTCCATGTTTCTGTACACAATATATGGTGATTTGTCAGCACAATGATTTAGTTGGACGGATATGATGCAGGGCCATGTTGTGTTAATACAACACCAAACTCCTTGTATTCACCTCCTGAAAAATGGTCAATTCATATGTGACCTCTTTTTGTTACTTTATGCCAAACTTAGCAATATTCCACCTGTGTGACAGTTATCTGAAATATGAGTCTGAACTGGACAAGTCTGTGTTCAGCATCATGAGCGTCCCTTCTGCAAGTTGGATACAATTCTTGTACTTGACCAAAGCGTGGCCACCTGGGCCCGTTTAAAGTGATTGTAACACTAATGGGATCATAACTCCCATGCTTTAACATAGACTTATGAAAGTCATAGCTCTACGATCACTCTGTGAAACGAGCCCCAGATCTACAAGTCGACTGTTCCTCCGCTGATTGGTTGGGGATATGTATAAAACAGAACCCCATTGGGTCTGAACTGCACCACGACTGCGTCTGATAAACCTCCTCTCCTCTGATGAGAATCATGTTTAAGGACTGAATTGTTTTCAAGGTGTCGCAATAAAATTAACGTATTTGGGTTTTTAAAAGGAAGTAAGTTATGAGACTCTTTGCATGGTCCTGACATTTGTCTGTGGACTACATATCAAGGTGAGCTCCAGCATGGTGGCATTGTTATTATAATTGTTCAATCATTCAAAACTAAAGTCTGTAGTGATTTCAAGGAATGACAGACTTACATCCATGCAAGGAGTCAGCCAACAAGTCATTTTCTACAGTTTAACTCATACTGTGTTTTTTTCATTGTTCTGAATAAAAATAAATGTACCTTTTCAGATGACTCATCAAAGCATCGGAAGGTGGAGGAGAATGTGAATCTCTTAGACACACCATCATCTGGGACCCCATCATCTGGGACCCCTAGCCCAGGGTCCGGGAGTGGGGGCAGTGAGTCGTGATGGCGTCATTGAGTGATGTAGTTGTTGAACTACCACCTACCTATGAAAGTGCCATTCGGGAGGAGATTCCCCTCAGAAATGGTTTGTGTGTTTTTCTCATTCAGATATTAGGAATGGTGCTGACTTTAAGGATTCTGTGGTTGAATCTGAAGGAGTGCATGGTTGATTTAAAGAGTGCTTGGTTGATATAAAGTCTGCATGGTTGATATAAGAAGTGTATGATTGATATAAAGTCTGCATGGTTGATATAAAGAGTGCATGATTGATATAAAGTCTGCATGGTTGATATAAAGAGTGCATGATTGATATAAAGTCTGCGTGGTTAATTTAAAGAGTGCATGATTGATATTAAGTCTGCATGGTTGATATAAAGAGTGCATGATTGATATAAAGTCTGCATGGTTGATATAAAGAGTGCATGATTGATATAAAGTCTGCGTGGTTGATTTAAAGAGTACACGGTTAAATTAAAGATTAAATGGTTCATTTTAAAGATTCTTTTCATACTGTCTTTAATCATGCATATGCTGTAGTTACTTATACACTTTGTTCCGACCTTACTTTTTTACATTTTAGATGGAATTTATCGTCTTTGATTCATCAAATATTTGTTTTAAGATAATGACAAAGTAGCTTTCCAGGGGAGGGACAATGAAACTGTAAAAGGTCAAATTAGAGCATCTCAAAGTACCTTTGCTCATTATTTTGGCCCCAAATCAAGTGTTTTTCAAGGACAAGAGTAAAATAACAATTTGGATCTCTTCCACCCAACTGTTCCCTAGTGTCGAGCTGTGATAGCGGACTCTTGTATGAATGATGTGTTTGTTCCAGGATCCTGTCATGTGGAGTTGAGGTACAGCTGTAATGATGACCACTGGATGCCTCTGTTGCCTTGTAGGTTCAGTTCTTTTCTTTACTTGTGCGTAAAAACAAATCTGTGTGGTAGAATAAATGACATTTTACATCAAGGCTTCAGGTCACATGACAATGTACATGGTGTCTTCAGGTCACATGACATTGTACATGGTGTCTTCAGGTCACATGACATTGTACATTGTGTCTTCGGGTCTCATGACAATGTACATGGTGTCTTCAGGTCACATGACATTGTACATTGTGTCTTCAGGTCTCATGACAATGTACATGTTGTCTTCAGGTAACATGACATTGTACATTGTGTCTTCAGGTCACATGACAATGTACATGGTGTCTTCAGGTCACATGATGTACATTGTGTGACTGTACATGGTGTCTTCAGGTCACATGACATTGTACATTGGTGTCTTCAGGTCACATGACATTGTACATGGTGTCTTCAGGTCACATGACATTGTACATTGTGTCTTCAGGTCTCATGACAATGTACATGTTGTCTTCAGGTAACATGACATTGTACATTGTGTCTTCAGGTCACATGACATTGTACATGGTGTCTTCAGGTCACATGACATTGTACATGGTGTCTTCAGGTCATCATGACATGTCTTAGGTCACATGACAATACATGGTGTCTTCAGGTCACATGACATTGTACATTGTGTCTTCAGGTCACATGACATTGTACATGTTGTCTTCAGGTCACATGACATTGTACATTGTGTCTTCAGGTCTCATGACAATGTACATGTTGTCTTCAGGTAACATGACATTGTACATGGTGTCTTCAGGTCACATGACATTATACATGGTGTCTTCAGGTCACATGACATTGTACATGGTGTCTTCAGGTCACATGACATTGTACATGGTGTCTTCAGGTCACATGACAATGAACATTTTGTCTTCAGGTCATATGACATTGTACATGGTGTCTTCAGGTCATGACATGACATTGTGTCTTTGGATCACATGACATTGTACATGGTGTCGTCAGGTCACATGACATTGTACATGTTGTCTTCAGGTCTCATGACAATGTACATGGTGTCTTCAGGTCACATGACAATGTACATGGCGTCTTCAGGTCACATGACAATGTACATGGCGTCTTCAGGTCTCATGACAATGTACATGGCGTCTTCAGGTCACATGACATACTCATATGCTTCTCTTTTCTATTTATGAAGTGGTATAGTTGATACACTTATTGATTTAGGTATCCATATTTGTTATCAATGTTTCACTGTCGGTCACAGTAACTCTGATTTATCGCAGATATATTGAGTCCCCTCATTTATGTTCAGATGTATTTTCATTTGTATTTGTTACATCTGTCAGACGCTACCCTTCATGTTGCGGAGGGAACCGTGCTGATCATACAGGCTTATTGCTCGGAGGGCGATAACATCTGCATGCTGAAATGTGGACCTCCTTTTGGGCAATATGAGGAGCTTGGGGACAGGATGAAGGTGACCATCAAACAGGGCGATGCTGGAAGCTTCTTGTTGTGGACCAAGTGCTCCCACCTGGACAACCTGGTCGTTGTTTTGGTCAACGTACAACTGACTGGTAAGGCTTAACAGAGATATTTACCCTCAGACAGTGTCTTGGGTTTGGGTATTTTCTTGCCCAGACTACGATCTGACAAAGAAATGAATAGCATCTCTGAATATTTAACTCCTTTCTTCCAATACGAGACAGGTAGAGGTAGTCACCATGGTAACCACTGGTGTAATGATGTGTTGAGGCCACGATACAATATGGTACATATCCTGATAATATGGGTGCGATATGATTCGTATGTCATTTCAATACCTTCAGTTTATAAGTTCATATATTCTCGGCCTTTTTGCAGGTGAATCACCATCCTGAATCATTTGTTTTTAAAGTTCAGAAAGTGAAACTGGGTGTTGTAAGGGAGAAATATATAAACTTGAGGGCATTGTGTGCTGGTATTGTAGTGTGAGACTCACATCGCAATGCAATACTGTATTGTTGTATCACTATGCCACTAGTTGTGTTATGTTGTGCTTTATGACATGTTGTGGTAGAGTGTTGTACTTTATGACATGTTGTGGTAGAGTGTATGTTGTGGTAGAGTGTTGTACTTTATGACATGTTGTGGTAGAGTGTTGTACTTTATGACATGTTGTGGTAGAGTGTATGACACATTGTGGTAGAGTGTTGTACTTTATGACATGTTGTGGTAGAGTGTTGTACTTTATGACATGTTGTGGTAGAGCGTTGTACTTTATTACACATTGTGGTAGAGGGTTGTACTTTACGACATGTTGTGGTAAAGCGTTGTATTTTATGACACATTGTGGTAGAGGGTTGTACTTTATGACACACTGTGGTAGAGTGGTGTACTTTATGACATGTTGTGGTAGAGCGTTGTACTTTATGACACATTGTGGTAGAGGGTTGTACTTTACGACATGTTGTGGTAGTGCGTTGTACGTTTTGACACATTGTGGTAGAGGGTTGTACTTTACGACATGTTGTGGTAGAGCATTGTACATTTTGACACATTGTGGTATAGGGTTGTACTTTATGACACATTGTGGTATAGGGTTGTACTTTATGACACATTGTGGTAGAGGTTGTATTTTATGACACATTGTGGTAGAGTGTTGTATTTTATGACACATTGTGGTAGAGGGTTGTACTTTATGACATGTTGTGGTAGAGTGTTGTATTTTATGACACATTGTGGTAGAGTGTTGTACATTATGACATGTTATGGTAGAGTGTTGTACTTTTTAACTTGAAGTATGATTTTGTGTTTCAGTGTTTTCTGTCCTCTACTTTCAGATGTTACAGGCAATGTGGAACACACAAATGTGAAACAACGAGTTGGAGATCAAGACGATTTGGGGTCCCTGGCCCACACAGTGGAAGAAGCACCTGTTGATGGTATGCTTAAAAAATGTAGTTTACACAATGAACTAGAATATGATGAGCTTGGGAGAGCCTCATGGTCATGTTTGTTTGTTGTATGACTGCAGGACTCTGTTTGTCTGTCACTCTCCTCTCTTTCTATCTGTCTCTCCATCCTGTCATTCCAACAAAGGGATCGTAGTATTAAGGAAATTACTACTTGCATTCTCTAGCATATGCATATGACTGTTGTAGCTCCGCTATTGTTAGTTAGAAAATAATTCATATTCATTTAGTTCCTGGTGATTTGCTCAGTTGTGATTATCTACAATTCTTTCATTCCTGCACCAGATTGTTTGTATTGATTGTATATAAGCATCACAACAGTTCCATTAATTCTACACCTGGTGTGTTTCATGTCAGCTACTAGTAGACCATCGGAGCCCTTAAAAGCAGAGATGACCTCACTCCCGAGCGATCCATGTCTGCTGACGCCCAGTCTGAATGATGCTGAAGATGAGGCTGTGAGGGGCGGAATCAGAGCTGTGGATGGAGCCAGACCTAAAACTCCTCTTCGTCCTGCTAGGTCAACAACCTCCCTTGCAAGTCAGAAGTCATTTTGTCCTCAAAATGATGGTAAGATTTAAATAGTTAGAGAAAGTCATGAAGCATGCCCTTATCTGTTTCTGCCTTCATTGAAGAATGTGAACCAGGTCGAACTGCCCTCGGCACACATCACTGTGTCAACTCTTGTGTATTAAACTGTCCTCAGGTGAACCGTTGTATATCCAAATGCCCTCGTCACATGTCGCAATGTCAACTATTGTGTATCAAACTGCCCTTGTCACATGTCACAATGTCAACTATTGTGTATCAAACTGCCCTCGTCACATGTCGCAATGTCAACCATTGTGTATCAAACTGCCCTCATCACATGTCACAATGTCAACTATTGTGTATCAAACTGCCCTCATCACATGTCGCAATGTCAACCATTGTGTATCAAACTGCCCCCATCACATGTCACAATGTCAACTATTGTGTATCAAACTGCCCTCATCACATGTCACAATGTCAACTATTGTGTATCAAACTGCCCTCATCACATGTCGCAATGTCAACCATTGTGTATCAAACTGCCCCATCACATGTCACAATGTCAACTATTGTGTATCAAACTGCCCTCATCACATGTCACAATGTCAACTATTGTGTATCAAACTGCCCTCATCACATGTCGCAATGTCAACTATTGTGTATCAAACTGCCCTCATCACATGTCACAATGTCAACCATTGTGTATCAAACTGCCCTCGTCACATGTCACAATGTGAACCATTGTGTATCAAACTGCCCCTCATCACATGTCGCATGTCACAATGTCAACGCATTGTCAACCATTGTGTATCAAACTGCCCTCATCACATGTCACAATGTCAACCATTGTGTATCAAACTGCCCTCATCACATGTCACAATGTCAACCATTGTGTATCAAACTGCCCTCGTCACATGTTGCAATTCGAACCATTGTGTATCAAACTGCCCTCATCACATGTCGCAATGTCAACCATTGTGTATCAATCTGCCCTCATCACATGTCGTAATTTGAACAAATGTGTATCGAGCTGCCTCATCACATGTCGCAGTGTGAACCATTGTGTATCAAACTGCCCTCATCACATGTCGCAATTTGAACCAATGTGTATTGAGCTGCCCTCATGACATGTCGCAGTGTCAACCATTGTGTATCAAACTGCCCTCATCACATGTCGCAGTGTCAACCATTGTGTATCGAGCTGCCCTCATCACATGTCGCAGTGTCAACCATTGTGTATCAAACTGCCCTCGTCACATGTCGCAATGTCAACCATTGTGTATCAAACTGCCCTCATCACATGTCACAATGTCAACTATTGTGTATCAAACTGCCCTCATCACATGTCGTAATGTCAACCATTGTGTATCAAACTGCCCCCATCACATGTCACAATGTCAACTATTGTGTATCAAACTGCCCTCATCACATGTCACAATGTCAACTATTGTGTATCAAACTGCCCTCATCACATGTCGCAGTGTGAACCATTGTGTATCAAACTGCCCTCATCACATGTCACAATGTGAACCATTGTGTATCAAACTGCCCTCGTCACATGTCGCAATGTCAACTATTGTGTATCAAACTGCCCTCATCACATGTCACAATGTCAACTATTGTGTATCAAACTGCCCTCGTCACATGTCGCAATGTCAACTATTGTGTATCAAACTGCCCTCGTCACATGTCACAATGTGAACCATTGTGTATCAAACTGCCCTCATCACATGTCGCAATTCGAACCATTGTGTATCAAACTGCCCTCATCACATGTCGCAATGTCAACCATTGTGTATCAATCTGCCCTCATCACATGTCGCAATTTGAACCAATGTGTATCGAGCTGCCTCATCACATGTCGCAATTTGAAGCAATGTGTATCAAACTGCCCTCATCACATGTCGCAGTGTGAACCATTGTGTATCAAACTGCCCTCATGACATGTCACAGTGTCAACCATTGTGTATCAAACTGCCCTCATCACATGTCGCAGTGTCAACCATTGTGTATCGAGCTGCCCTCATCACATGTCGCAGTGTCAACCATTGTGTATCAAACTGCCCTCATCACATGTCGTATCAAACCGTCTTCGAATGTCAACCATTGTGTATCAAACTGCTTATTGTTCTCATCATATGTCGCAATGTGAACCATTGTGTATCAAACTGCCCTCATCACATGTCGCAAGTGTCAACCATTGTGTATCAAACTGCCCTCATCACATGTCACAATGTCAACTATTGTGTATCGAGTCAACTATTGTGCCCTCATCACATGTCGCAGTGTCAACCATTGTGTATCAAACTGCCCTCATCACATGTCACAATGTCAACCATTGTGTATCAAACTGCCCTCATCACATGTCACAATGTCAACCATTGTGTATCAAACTGCCCCTCATCACATGTCACAATGTCAACTATTGTGTATCAAAGCAATGTGTGTATCAAACTGTGTATCAAACTGCCCTCATCACGTCGCAATTCAACCATCACATATCAAACCATTGTGTATCAAACTGTAGTCGCCTCATCAATGTCCATTGTGTATCAAACTGCCCTCATCACATGTCGCAGTGTGAACCATTGTGTATCAAACTGCCCTCATCACATGTCACAATGTCAACCATTGTGTATCAAACTGCCCTCGTCACATGTCGCAGTGTGAACCATTGTGTATCAAACTGCCCTCATCACATGTCACAATGTCAACCATTGTGTATCAAACTGCCCTCATCACATGTCGCAATGTGAACCATTGTGTATCAAACTGCCCTCATCACATGTCACAATGTGAACCATTGTGTATCAAACTGCCCTCATCACATGTCGCAATTTGAACAAATGTGTATCGAGCTGCCCTCATGACATGTCACAATGTGAACCATTGTGTATCAAACTGCCCTCATCACATGTCACAATGTCAACCATTGTGTATCAAATAGGGGTGTCACGATACACCAATCTCACGATACGATACGTATCACGATTTTAAGGTCACGATACGATACGTATCGCGATACATAATTTTCGCGCCTTTTCATAGCATTACCTTACCGGCAACATACGCGCTCGCTGATTGGACCATCAAAATAGTCTAGCCAATCACAAAAGCTGTTAGTTTCCAACCTATTTTTTAAGTAAGCTAGCTACATCTATTTATCGGAGCGATCTCGTATAATTTTACTATCAAGACTTTGAAGGAGATGGATATAGCATAAAAATTTGAATCGATGAAATTTTAAAATAGGAATCGATACACGCAAGCATGTATCGCGTATCGTATCGTCAGTAAAAATGCATCGATGCATCGATACATTCGCGTATCGCGACACCCCTAGTATCAAACTGCCCTCATCACATGTCGCAGTGTCAACCATTGTGTTTCAAACTGCCCTCATCACATGTCACAATGTGAACCATTGTGTATCGAGCTGCCCTCATCACATGTCACAACGTCAACCATTGTGTATCAAACTGCCCTTATCAAATGTCACAATGTCAACCATTGTGTATCAAACTGCCCTCATCACATGTCGCAATTTGAACCAATGTGTATCGAGCTGCCCTCATCACATGTCGCAATGTCAACCATTGTGTATCAAACTGCCCTCATCACATGTCGCAGTGTGAACCATTGTGTATCAAACTGCCCTCATCACATGTCGCAGTGTGAACCCTTGTGTATCGAGCGGGCCTTGTCACATGTCGCAATGTCAACCATTGTGTATCGAGCTGCCCTCATCACATGTCGCAATGTCAACCATTGTGTATCAAACTGCCCTCATCACATGTCGCAATGTCAACCATTGTGTATCAAACTGCCCATGTCATCACATGTATCAAACTGCCCTCATCATGCAATCTCAACCATTGTGTATCAAACTGCCCTCATCACATGTCGCAGTGTGAACCATTTGTGTATCATCAATGTGCCCTCATCACATGTCGCAAAATGTCAATGTCATTGTGTATCAAACTGCCCTCATCACATGTCGCAATCTCAACCATTGTGTATCAAACTGCCCTCATCACATGTCGCACATTGTGTCAACCATTGTGTATCAAACTGCCCTCATCACATGTCGCAATGTCAACCATTGTGTATCAAACTGCCCTCGCCACATGTCGCAATTGTCAAGCATTGTGTATCAAACTGCCCTCATCACATGTCGCAATGTGAACCATTGTGTATCAAACTGCTGCCCTCATGACATGTTACAATGTGAACCATTGTGTATCAAACTGCCCTCGTCACATGTCGCACGCGTCAACCATTGTGTATCAAACTGCCCTCATCACATGTCACAATGTCAACCATTGTGTATCAAACTGCCCTCATCACATGTCGCAATTGTCAACAAATGTGTATCGAAGCTGCCAATGAATTTGAACCATGTGTATCAAACTGCCCTCATCACATGTCACAATGTGAACCATTGTGTATCAAACTGCCTCTCATGCGTCACATGTCACAATGTGAACCATTGTGTATCAAACTGCCCTCATCACATGTCGCAGTGTCAACCATTGTGTATCAAACTGCCCTCATCACATGTCACAATGTCAACCATTGTGTATCAAACTGCCCTCATCACATGTCGCAATGTCAACCATTGTGTATCAAACTGCCCTCATCACATGTCGCAATGTCAACCATTGTGTATCAAACTGCCCTCATCACATGTCACAATGTCAACCATTGTGTATCAAACTGCCCTCATCACATGTCACAATGTCAACCATTGTGTATCAAACTGCCCTCGTCACATGTCGCAGTGTGAACCATTGTGTATCAAACTGCCCTCATCACATGTCACAATGTCAACCATTGTGTATCAAACTGCCCTCATCACATGTCGCAATGTGAACCATTGTGTATCAAACTGCCCTCATCACATGTCACAATGTGAACCATTGTGTATCAAACTGCCCTCATCACATGTCGCAATTTGAACAAATGTGTATCGAGCTGCCCTCATCACATGTCACAATGTGAACCATTGTGTATCAAACTGCCCTCATCACATGTCACAATGTCAACCATTGTGTATCAAATAGGGGTGTCACGATACACCAATCTCCGCGATCACGATCACGATCACGATTTTTAAGGTCACGATCGACACGATCGTATCGCGATACATAATTTTCGCGCCTTTTCATAGCATTACCTTACCGGCAACATACGCGCTCGCTGATTGGACCATCAAAATAGTCGAGCCAATCACAAAAGCTGTTAGTTTCCAACCTATTTTTTAAGTAAGCTAGCTACATCTATTTATCGGAGCGATCTCGTATAATTTTACTATCAAGACTTTGAAGGAGATGGATATAGCATAAAAATTTGAATCGATGAAATTTTAAAATAGGAATCGATACACGCAAGCATGTATCGCGTATCGTATCGTCAGTAAAAATGCATCGATGCATCGATACATTCGCGTATCGCGACACCCCTAGTATCAAACTGCCCTCATCACATGTCGCAGTGTCAACCATTGTGTTTCAAACTGCCCTCATCACATGTCACAATGTGAACCATTGTGTATCGAGCTGCCCTCATCACATGTCACAACGTCAACCATTGTGTATCAAACTGCCCTTATCAAATGTCACAATGTCAACCATTGTGTATCAAACTGCCCTCATCACATGTCGCAATTTGAACCAATGTGTATCGAGCTGCCCTCATCACATGTCGCAATGTCAACCATTGTGTATCAAACTGCCCCCATCACATAATCGCAGTGTGAACCATTGTGTCAAACTGCCCTTGTCATGTCGCAATGTGAACCATTGTGTATCAAACTGCCCTCATCACATGTCGCAGTGTGAACATTGTGTATCAAACTGCCCTCATTGTGCATCAATGTGAACCATTGTGTATCAAACTGCCCTGTCACATGTCGCAATGTCAACCATTGTGTATCGAGCTGCCCTCATCACACCATTGTGTCGCAATGTCAACCATTGTGTATCAAACTGCCCTCATCACATGTCGCAATGTCAACCATTGTGTATCAAACTGCCCTCATCACATGTCGCAATGTCAACCATTGTGTATCAAACTGCCCTCATCACATGTCGCAGTGTGAACCATTGTGTATCAAACTGCCCTCATCACATGTCGCAATGTGAAATGTCAACCATTGTGTATCAAACTGCCCCCATCACATGTCGCAATGTGAACCATTGTGTATCAAACTGCCCCCTCATCACATGTCGCAGTGTCAACCATTGTGTATCAAACTGCCCTCATCACATGTCGCAATCTCAACCATTGTGTATCAAACTGCCCTCGTCACATGTCGCAATTTGAAGCAATGTGTATCAAACTGCCCTCATCACATGTCGCAGTGTGAACCATTGTGTATCAAACTGCCCTCATGACATGTTACAATGTGAACCATTGTGTATCAAACTGCCCTCGTCACATGTCGCAATGCGAACCATTGTGTATCAAACTGCCCTCATCACATGTCACAATGTCAACCATTGTGTATCAAACTGCCCTCATCACATGTCGCAATTTGAACAAATGTGTATCGAGCTGCCCTCATGACATGTCACAATGTGAACCATTGTGTATCAAACTGCCCTCATCACATGTCACAATGTGAACCATTGTGTATCAAACTGCCCTCATCACATGTCGCAGTGTCAACCATTGTGTATCAAACTGCCCTCATCACATGTCACAATGTGAACCATTGTGTATCGAGCTGCCCTCATCACATGTCGCAATGTCAACCATTGTGTATCAAACTGCCCTCATCACATGTCACAATGTCAACCATTGTGTATCAAACTGCCCTCATCACATGTCACAATGTCAACCATTGTGTATCAAACTGCCCTCATCACATGTCACAATGTCAACCATTGTGTATCAAACTGCCCTCATCACATGTCGCAATCTCAACCATTGTGTATCAAACTACCCTCGTCACATGTCGCAGTGTGAACCGTTGTGTATCAAACTGCCCTCATCACATGTCGCAGTGTGAACCATTGTGTATCAAACTGCCCTCATCACATGTCGCAGTGTGAACCCTTGTGTATCGAGCTGGCCTTGTCACAAGTCACAATGTGAACCATTGTGTATCGAGCTGCCCCCATCACATGTCACAGTGTCAACCATTGTGTATCAAACTGCCCCCATCACATGTCACAAAGTCAACCATTGTGTATCAAACTGCCCTCATCACATGTCGCAGTGTGAACCCTTGTGTATCGAGCTGGCCTTGTCACAAGTCGCAATGTGAACAGTTCTACTGTGAAATGTTTCCACCACCAGAGGATGTGAATACTAGCAACCATATTCTGTATGTTAGGAGGATGTGTCCACCATCAGAGGACGTGAATAGTAGCAACCATATTCTGTATGTGTGGGGAATGTTTCCAACATCAGAGGATGTAAATAGTAGCAACCATATTCTGTATGTTAGGAGGATGTGTCCACCATCAGAGGACTTGAATAGTAGCAACCATATTCTGTATGCTAGGGGAATGTTTCCACCATCAGAGGATGTAAATAGTAGCAACCATATTCTGTATGTTAGGAGGATGTGTCCAGCATCAGAGGACTTGAATAGTAGCAACCATATTCTGTATGTTAGGGAAATGTTTCCAGCATCAGGGGACGTGAATAGTAGCAACCATATTCTGTATGTTAGGGAAATGTTTCCAGCATCAGGGGACGTGAATAGTAGCAACCATATTCTGTATGTTAGGGGAATGATTACAGCATCAGAGGACGTGAATAGTAGCAACCCTATTCTGTATGTTAGGGGATTGTATTCACCATCGGATGATGTGAATAGTAGCAACCAGGCTGTGTATGTTAGGGGATTGTATTCACCATCAGATGATGTGAATAGTAGCAACCATATTCTGTATGCTAGGGGATTGTATTCACCATCAGATGATGAGAATAGTAGCAACCATATTCTGTATGTTAGGGGAATGTTTCCAGCATCAGAGGACGTGAATAGTAGCAACCATATTCTGTATGTTAGGGGATTGTATTCACCATCAGATGATGTGAATAGTAGCAACCATATTCTGTATGTTAGGGGATTGTATTCACCATCAGATGATGTGAATAGTAGCAACCATATTCTGTATGTTAGGGGATTGTATTCACCATCGGATGATGTGAATAGTAGCAACCATATTCTGTATGTTAGGGGATTGTATTCACCATCAGATCATGTGAATAGTAGCAACCATATTCTGTATGTTAGGAGGATGTGTCCACCATCAGAGGATGTAAATAGTAGCAACCATATTCTGTATGTTAGGCGTTTCCATGGCAACAAGATTTACCTTGTCTGAAGTGGTAGTGGTTGTGCTCCTATCTGGAGCAGAACTTTAAAACCTTTTAATACTCTAATTCCTCTTTGTGGGTATTGAAGAACCTAATGACATCAATCAACAGTACCACTCTATTTCCAGTATCAACATTACTGAGGTACATCAAATCGTGGAAGCACTCAGGCAGTCTGTTGTTGATACAAACACGCTAGTATATGAATAGTTTACATACGTATGTTTTTATTAGATCAAAGTGAAGAACAATTTAACATTTGACATTGTCATAACTAGTTGATTTATTCGTGAAGAGTATTTTACAGATGTGGGTGATATTGATGACTTTGTCTTCTTGTTAGTTTTTCTGTTTTGTATTTATGTAACCAGGTGACATTATACTAATAAAATGGCTCCAAATTTGGATATCTTGTATGTAAAGGATCAAAACCGAGGAGGATGTTTCGATCCAACTTATGAACCGACCGAAGATATACTTTAGATGGAATTTTAATATTTAGTATTTATTGTTGAAATCAACCGGGATGCAACTGGCAGCTAATACCTTGCCTTGCACGCACAATGCACATGCTCTGCACGCACTACCCGTGCCCTGCATGTGTGTTGCCCGCAATACCTGTCTTGTTAGGAACATATGGGTCATGCTGACAAACAATCTCATTCTTCACAGCGAGCCTTCATAGCCTAGTGGATAAAGCTGCCGATCTAGTAAGCGAAGGGTTGCACGTTCAAAACCAGGCATCGGTACAATATACTAGAAGTTTTCAATGATGTGATATTTTACGATCATATTCAAAACTTGTACAAGTAAAATAATTAAAAGTCATGGGCTGTTCGTCAGAAAATTGCATGGGCAATTCCTCATAAAATCCCCGGGATTTCTTGTAGAATGCCAGTAGAGGTTTACTCGGTAAAAGGAAAACCGGGCGAGGCAATAGAGTGACATCACTGGAGGTTTATAAATGTAACCAAATGCTGCTAGTTTGATTTTACTATAGAAATATCAGGATTCAGCAAATACGCTGGACTTCTGAACAGACACCATTTAAACACCTTCACTAAAAGTTTCCAATTGAAGTAACATCATTGTTTTGATGGCTTTCTCTAATACTATTGATTTGTTTTCAGAGGAATCTAAGAGTTGTACGCTTCTGATAGGAGAGCTGAGGGGGATGAGGGAGTTCAAGAAGACGTGGGAAGATCTTGTACTGCTCCTACAACCCCTAGACAATAAGAATATCAATTTGACTATTGGTGGAGCTGCCATGGAAATACTAAATTTCTCAATTGAGAAGGTTGATTATCTTACGTAAGTTTTATTCATTTTGTAACATATATAAGGTGGTCAACCAAAAGGTGAGGTGAGGTGAAATGGGGTTTAACGTCGTACTTGAAAATATTTTGTTCATATGTGTGTGTATGTATGTGTGGCTGCTAGCCCAGACTTAAGCTGGTTTTATAGTGCGAGCCCACTGAGATACCATGCCGCAGTGAAGCATGAATACCCCACTCAGACACAGTATACTGACTCCGAGCTGACCAGTCCTTCTTGTACCCATTGATGCCGGGCGCCAGGCAGGGACCAACAAGTACCATATTTTAACGTCTTTTGGTTTGACGCGGCCGGGGATTAAACCCGCAACCTTCCGCTCTCCGGGCGGACGCTCTAACCATCAACCAAAAGGATTACATCCTTTACCATCATAGTTGTACATTTTGATCGCATTGTGTGATCACATTGTGTGATCGCATGGTGTGATCGCATTGTGTGATCACATCGTGTGATCGCATCGTGTGATCTCATCGTGTGATGTCTTCTCAAGCTTCTTCCAGTGTTCAAAATGATGGTGTAACATTATTGTGGAGGTTCATGGGGCAGGCAGGCGGGCTGTATAGGCTATATAGCAGTAAGGGTTTTGTAGTGGTGAGTGGGGGGCTACATTGGTTTACAGGGATTGTCTCGTCATCATTAGGCATTCACCTGATTGTGTGGATCTTTGAATAAACAATACTGTATAGAGAGTGGTCACATGTAACACGCACCCAGAGTCAGGCACCTAATCACCATCACACAACGTCAAACTCCTAAACCACTCAGCCACTGTGGCTTCCACAAAAGTGAAAGTCGGACAACTGGTAGACTAGACCATGGACTTTGTGCACCCCTGTAATAAGTGTAAATTGGCACAATTCCCATGTCCGAAAGCTATGAATACACTATGCCATTTAGAAAGTGGTCAAATGTAACACGTCATGTTTGGGATTACACTTTCTTAGTAAAGTACAGATTCTAGTACTTTTGTTGGGTTGAGTCCCATCCGGGATTCGAACCTACACCCTGAGAGTCAGGCACCTAATTGCCAGCGTGTGGATCATCTTGTTCTTACAGTGTACTTGATCATCCAGTGTACCTGAATGATTGGAATGTTGTAATATACCGGTAGCTGAAATAAGGCTGACCAGATGACAGGGCCGGCACCTTTTTTCCAAATCCATTTATAGCTCACTTCGGACCAATTTTTGTAAAATATCTCTATTTTGGAAAATGACAACAAGCCCCGCTTGATTTTCACTTGTCTCCTACCTGTGGTCTAGTGGATATGTCTATCATTGATTGTTAATCAACATTCAACCATTTGTTCCGGGGTTGGATCGTTTGATATATCACTGCCCACAAAATATCCATATGCTTCCATCAACTGTACTATTGAAACTGTGGTCTAGTTGATAGAGCATCTACCCAGAGATGTAGGTTGGTGGTTGAATCCCTGGCCATGTCAGTCTGAAATTTATTAAAAGATGGTACAAGGTACCCTCAACATTTAAGGGAAAATTGTGGTGGTATACTGTGTCTGGACAGGTGTCCATGGTTTTATACTGGCAATAGTCTAGACTGATACAAGCAGCAGCCCCCACACACACACACACACACACACACACACTCCTCAATCCCCCCTCCAGGTATATGTATGTTAAACACAAGGTTAAACCCTGTTTCATCCCACCTTCAAAACTTTTCAATATTTGTGTTGACTGCAACATGTTCCCCAACTGTTAAACTAATTGAAGCATTTTCACCCTTGTTTATCCCAGGTTTGTTTCACTGATAGAGTTATTTCCCTTTGTTGTTGTTATTCAGCTGGGCGAAGAGAACAGACCTACGCGAGAGCCCCGCCCGGGTCATCTTGACATATATGATTCAGGAGGGTAAGAGAGCGTGTCACCTGGTGCGGTACTTCGCTGATGACAACCACCACAGACGAGACATCATACGGCTCCTACAGACAGCTCATCCAAACTGCCCTGTTTGTCGGTGGTATAAATAACGGTGTACATCAGCTGTGTGGCTGTATAATCAATTCTTTGGTTCTTCCAGCTTGGTTTAGATCAATTATCTTTGCTGTTACGAAAACAAACCAAAATTATAAAAGATAAGGACTGTGCTGTCTCTCATACCTGTCCTTATTGTACTTGTTGTGTATAAATTTTGAAATCCATTCATTCATCTCCCCACCCGAAAAGAAATTTATATAGATATATGTATATAAATAAATAAAAAAATACATGCGTGCAAGCACACACACATAATGTTTTTGTGTGTGTATCGCAATATATACATACATGCACACACAAATATATATGTGTGTGCTTGTTTTCGTAGATGCGTGTGTTTTAAAAATAGATATATAGGAAGATGAAGTTGAAATAAGTTTGGTAATATATATATCAAAATAGAAATAATATGTCCATTTTGGAAAGGGATATTTTTATTAAAACACAAATGATACTCATAATATTTCAGTTGTATGTGTATATGTGTTTCTAAGATGCCTAGCTGTTGTATACAACATATGATAACATCTATGATAACCCCATCAATGTAAGCAACAGCGTCACGAAAGTTGACAATTACATTTATGTATGTGACAGACCGGTTAAAATGTGTCATTTTCGACTATTGCGTTTGTAAAATCCCACAAGTACTAACATAACTTGGAGATATCATCTTTTACATGTGTAGAGATTCATAATCACATAGGTGTATATTTATCTCACCGCACGTCACTGTCATCTGGAGAAAATATCTTTTGTATAAGGTCATGAACTATTATACACACAGTGCCATGAGAATAACAGTAGTATACCAATGACAGTGCAGATTTATGTATGTGACAGAGGTATTGTTTGTAACTCTGTAATGTGTGCTACTGATCATCCCTCTGTCATCGAATATGTATTGTTTATCTACTGGTCACCTGTGTTTTGACACTCTTCTTATTCCATCTCCTGCAGTATGTCCAGCATAAGATGGTTGGGTGTTCGAGCAGGGCACTTAACGTGCAGCAGATGCTTGCGTATAATCCTGAATAACTCACCATTAATCCTGAATAACTCACCATTAATCCTGAATAACTCACCATCAATATATCAGTGCAACTTGTTTTGGTTTCCAGTTGCAGTAGACCCATGAAGATCCGGGTTAGAATCGATCTTCAGTAATCCATGCTTGTTGTAAGAGGCGACTAACGGGGGTCGGGTGGTCAGACTTGCTGACTTGGTTGGCATGTCGTCATATCCCAATTGCATAGATTGATGCAGATTGATTTAGATTTATAGCCACATCAGCAGTATTCCAGCCATTTCGTAACTAAAACAAGTTACACATTTATGATACCTAAAGTTAGATAATAAAGCCTGTCAACAAAGGACAGTATAAACAACTAGATTATCACAGATATAGATTTAAAACTAGCGTGTCACCCTAAATTACTTCACTGTTGAAATATTCGATACCAAAATGGACCATAGATCACCAGCAACTAAAGGGAGATAACCCTGCTAGGTACGATGAGGACACTACAGTTTGCTGCCTGCATGGACCCCAACGTCTTGCACTACATTACATGAACATAAAGAATTTTTCTCGATTTCATGTTCTTTTATTATTTTAGTATCAATTGGAGTGGCAAATTATGTGAAAATATTGCAGTTTATATCTAGGATTCGAACCCACACCCTCAGAGTCAGTCACCTCACCCGCTCAGCCACCACGGCTTCCACATGATATTAAACTATTATGACAATATTTATAGGTCTTTTTATATGAGAGGTGGCTGGGGTAGCCTTATGGTTTAAGCATCCACTCGCCACCCTGAAGACCCAGGTTCGATTCCGCACATGGGTACAATGTTTGAAGCCCATTTCCAGTGTCCCTTGACGTGATATTTCTGGAATATTGCTAAAAGCAGCGTAAAACCATACTCACTCAATCACTTTTTATATGAATAATAAAATAGTATGCGATTGTAATCTAATGGATGTGTAAGACTAAGTAAATGAAATGAAAATTACATTAAAAGTTTGTTAGTACTGACAGTAGGACTTAGATGACTATGTTTGCTGTTTGTAGAGGTCTTGTGATCAACTGGTATGCTTTGTACATAGTTTGTTGGGATGAGTTATAATACAGTGTAATCCTACTCAGGACCAGATAGATGAATTATTTCCATCTGTCTTGTCGCGCCACAACACACATCACTTTTCTGTTTGTCAACTGACTCATCCTGAGTGACCCCAAATGTGGAAATGTTTTCATGATTTCTTTAGATTGATCTCCTGGTTATTGACTTTCAAGCAGACGTCAATTTAAGTTTGCTTCAAGGTGGCCACTGTAACTAACAGAGAGTTGTTGAGCTGAAAGTAACTTCCACTTGATTTCACTGAATTTATTGTAAATAATATTGAATGAAATTTTGAATCAAATCAATAAAATAGATTAAAATTGTAAGTCAAAATATACAATGTGCACTTTTTATAACCAGACTGTTATTACATGATATATTGCGTGTTGAATTTTGGCCAACATGGTATTGTGAAAAAATGATCAAAATTCATTATTGAGTGTACAGTTGCACTCACCAGACATATTTTCTTTCAAAAAAACTATGCATTGAACACAAGAGAATATGGTACTTCTTTGTCCATGTGCTGTAAATATATTGTGCTCATGCTTTGTGTACTATTTTCAGTTGGCTCAGTATGATAACTGTCATACAGACTCGCTTATCTTAAAAAGCCACTTCTGTTTTGTACTGCTGAAGGTCCAATCAGCTTTTGTTAGGTTGTAGCACCAATGTCTGTCATCGGCTTCTCGGATTCCTAGATTAAATTGAAATAGCAGAAACTGTATGTGCACGATTGTGTACAGTAGCTGACATTTCAATTTTTAAAATCCACCCACCTAAAATGAACAAATGTCAGATGCAATACTATTTTCAGCAGGATAAGTTGTCTGCTGCTGGACAGTTGTTTCAGTTCCTGACTCCCTGTTAAGTCCTAGTCAGTATCAATGTTGTTAAACAAGTTATTCAGGTTTGCATTTATGACATGTGTAATACATCAAGAATCTCACTGAAGTGTCCTTTGATGTCAGCTGTGTGACATACTCTGATAATACTGTGAAACAATGACACTTTCCAAGGTGGTTTAAACTATTATGGAGTGTTGATTTTTTAAATCGAAAGACATGTGTAAGATTCTAATTAACATCCAGAATCTGCTACTAGATGAAATGATGCCCACTTGGACTATTAGAAACTATTTTATGGTATTAGTATCAATGTCATGTATCTATGAGGTAAATACTATATTGAATACAAATCGTATCGTCCCAATATTATTGGGATTCATATCATATCGCCTTACACCAGTACTTAAAACCAGAATGAAATCTCTGGTGTATATGGGGTTCTCATGCATGAAATCTCTGGGGTATATAGAGAATCTCACCCAAGTGTCTACTGGTATCAATTATGTAATCAAGGGATGTAATAGAATTATCGGGCCAAGCCATTGATGCATCCAGGATACTAGTGGAGATTTATCGGAACATATACCCTGGAAATTATCAAGTCAGTAGAACAGACTGAAAAAGACGTCTCTTGACTCGATAATTACCCAGGTATATTGCTATCACCTGTCTATGTTGCCAAGCTGTTGATGATTTGTTGAAAACCTGTTGTAGTATGAAATCCATTTAGAAAATCCATGTTTTCTAGAATTTCAATAGGATTGTAATTTTTACTGTCATAATGTTTCATTCATATACAAGAAGGATATTTGGGTTTATACGTTGGAAGAGGTTGGTGTGATGACATAACCAATGGTTGTTGTGATTACAGATAATAGCTGTTTAGAGTGCTCCACCGATTCGGTTCGATTTATTGAAAATTGAATCTGACACCTTAGTTTCCATTTTTGATAACCATTATCACTATTTCAATTCGATATTTGAGTTCCGTTCTGTGTTTAAACATCATATTGTATTTGTTTGTGAAAATGTACTTCATCTACATACCTGATTTCCTTGTCAAATCTTGGGAAAACGATATGTTTTGTTTAAAAAACTCTAAGAGTTAAATGAAATCTGATGTTTTTACTTGTATGAATAATTGAATCAAAAATGTTCGAATCAAGGGTCCAATATCGAAAATCGAATCGAATCGAGGTCTGGGTGAATCGTTGCAGCCCTGATGGCTATGTGGCCAGATGGACAAAGGGTATTGTAGGGTAACTGGTGATTGGCCCTACAGTTTGTTCCTCTTTTCAAAAAGGTTACAGACTCGTTTTGTAACTGTCATTGCTTAGCAGGAAACTGGAAACCCTTAGTACATGTTATTTTACATGGTATGTGTATGTACAAAGTATGATTGTTTTATGTCGTGCAGACAAAGCATGGTGTGTATTTGTTTTTCAAATTATATCTCACTCAGCCATATTCTAGATTTTTAAACTATAAATCAATCAGTATAATTTTTGTAGTTATTTGCATTCTTAAATTGTGAAAATATATGTGAAGAGCTCTTGTGGCATGTGATGACAAGTGAGACTGCTGCCATACTGTTGCCATACATGGGCGGATCCAGGAATTTTGAAAGGGGGGGGTTTCAGGGGGTTAAACCCCCCTGAACCCCTCTTGGCTCCGCCAACGCAATTTATTTTTTTTCAATGTGGTCTTAAGTCATTTTCAAGGTGTGTGTGTGTGTGTGTGGGGGGGGGAAACCCTTGACCCACCCCCCTTGGATCCGCCACTGCCATAGTCACAGCCCTGAACCTCACCCTGTGGGGTTTAAAGTATTGTTGCAGTACCATGACACTGACTAATTTGGAATATACACATTGTGGTAAGTTTGTTTTGCTGTAAAAAATACATGATGTGTTACTTTCTTATAAGTAAATGCACAACCACGTTATTTCTGTTGATGAATGTTTTGTTATAATGAACTTGTTTCATGTGGTCTGAAAATCTATTAGCAATAATCAATATGAACTTTGTTATTTTTTTATATCAACAAACTTAATGTTTTTGTTATCAATTAAGCAGTCTTAACCTTCAGATCATGTTAAT